TACTGAGGGAATGACATCATGGATCAAAATCTGCTAGTACTTGTCAGCAGTCAAAGTTATGTCCATTCTTTGTAGCTCTCTAGCCCAGATTTGTACTGATCCTACCATGTTTTGCTGCTGGTTTTATACATTGACTATGACACTACTATTATAATACTAGTTATTCACTCACATTAGCATATACTAATTTCATAGTAAACCACTGCAAGAAACACACTAGCACCACAACTAGCCCTGATCATCTCAGACGAATAGAAGCCAAGAACAGTCAGATTTCAAGGTAACACTCATTTAATAATCACTCTTCAATTTACAATAAAAATTCATTATACTAAACAACTCTCAAGTTAAAAGGCCTGGCATGGCCTTTTGGATAAGGCTCTGGACTCGCAATCTGAAGGTCGCAAGTTCAAATCCCATTCCTTAGCATGCTCGTCTTTTCAGCTGTGGGGATGTTACAATGTGATGGTCAATCATATTATTCCTTGGTAAAGAGTATCTCAAGAGGTGGGGGTGGGTTGTCTATCACTTCAAATTAGGGGCGGCTTATACAGCTAGCTCTCGAAGAGCAGTTTTGCGCAAAATTAAAAACAAAGTTAACTTAAAAGAAGTATATAACCCCACAAGTTCATAAAGTTCTTCAGGGGTATGTTCAATCACTGTCTTAAAATTCATTACTGTTTTCCTCTTCTACCTTTGTAAAATTGTTCAACACACACAAACAGTTATTACTATCATACTTGGACTTTCAATACATTGCTTGATCACTTGATCCAGGAATATTCAATAATGTAGAATATTGGATGGACCTCAGTTCTGACCTCTGCAATATTATTTGTTGTGAACATCCAGAATATTTTGCAGTTTTTGTATTAAATTCCAGTGGAATTGCAATGGCGTGTGTTTCTTCTTAGTACTCTCATATCCTTGTATTGTTCAAAGATGAAGTAAATCTTGCCTTAGAGCTCTTGGAAATACTACCGAAAATTAAAGAAATTATCAAACGAGTAGATAGGTAACAAATTGGTGTCAGAGAGTGGGACAAAAAAAAGAAGGTGGAAACCAGAAGTGGCAAATCAAACTACAGCTTAGCAGATTTGATGGCAGCAATACAAGAACAGCAAAAGAAACAAGAAGAACGAAAAAAAGAAACAAGAAGAGAGATTACAGCAGTTGTTGGAGGAAAAAGAAAAAAAAAGAAGAGAGGCAACAGCAGTGGTTGGAGGAGAAAGAAAAGAAACAAGAAGAGAGCAACAGCAGTGGGAAGAAAACCTGCAACAGTGGCAGCTCGAACAGCAAAATAAACAAGAGAGACTACAGCAGTGGTTGGAGGAGAAAGAAATTAAACAAGAAGAAAGTCTCCAACAGTTGAGAGAAAGCCAGCATACACAAATGGAAAAGATTAGTAAATTTTAAAGTGAATAAATATATTAAAAAATAGGTTTACTGTCTTTTACATGGAGGATATATTAGACATGAACTTAATCAGCCCCAGACAACAATAAGCTCCTTCCAG